ATATATAGCTATGCCATAGACCATGGGTGGTCACAGTCCATGTCTTAGGTCACACCCGCTTTGATTGGTAGTATCTGCTAGTATGCCAGGATTGACCTGATGGACAACCATTCCTTTATTCCAACTTTGCAACGTCACAGTGACCTGTGGTAGAGATCAGATTTAGAGATCAGTGACGACTGCTAAACCTGTACAAGAAGGGTCATCCCTCAGGGTTTTACAGACACTAGGGTTTCCAGGCAGAAAGTTGTTTCACCTGTCTGTTACACAGCCAGGTTTGTAATGGTGATCTGCAAGGTCCAAGCCTTAATAGGAATCAAAACGTCCTATTGGGACAGACTGTTCTTTAAGCTGCAAAATCCTCAAGGTTGCTGGTCCTTCTGCTAATAGCACCACAGCTGTGTCCTGGTAGAGTATGTGGAAAATTGTTAGAACTTGATTATTAACCCTTAACCATTAAATGGCCATGATTCCCTTTCTGCAGCCACTGTCTGCCTTTGAATTTCTCCCTTGTTCATTGGGTAGAGCTAGATAATAAAGCAAACATTTCCAGTTCTAAAATTTCATGTACTGTAAGTGATGATATTAGACAGTTGTCATATAGCATCTCAGCGTGCTGCTGTGCTGGATGAAGTAGGAGATCTAGTTTTTTTAATTAGCTTATTATTAATAGCATTTAATTACTGTTAGATTTTGAAGCTGATACACCACTTCAAAAAGAGTTCCACATTCAGAAGTGCCGGATGCTAATAGATCTATAATTGAGTTTGTGATACTATATATCACTATTTTAGCAAGCTTTTCATCCTTAGCTACTGAAGAGGTTAAGGTCTCTGTAGGTCTAAATAAGGCATTACTGAGAGAAATAAACAGCAAGTTTAATAACAACCTAATCCTTTACAACAGCTTGTATATTTTAATTAAAAATCTCTAAAAATGGAATTTAGATTACTTTCATTACAAGGAAAAAAATCTGAGCTGTACTAGTATTGTCATGTGTTCATGGACTGTATTAACAAAAGTGTAAATACAAAAATTTGTCCCCCAGATAGCTGTCACAGTAGTTGAGTTGAGAAAAACATACATTGAGAAATCTACTCATACAGCTATTAAATGTAGTAGATTATTATGTGTTTATTTTACGTTCTGGTCAGTCTTGCCTTACCTTTACCTGTCTTTTTATTTCTGGCATGGTTTTTTGTTGTTCTGTTTTCTTTTCTGTTCCACCACATTCAAGAAATTCTGTTAGGCACTATAAAACATTACCACCCAAGATGCCTTTACTAGAAAATGGTACTCATTGGAACCTATACAGGTAAGAAGTGTTTAGAATCTGCTTTAAGTAGTTAGTTCCTTTTTAAAAAATAAATAGTCTTGCCTTGTTAAATTAAAAAAAAAAGTTTAATACAGTTTTTATGACTGAGAGATATAATCATAAAATAGCTTCATATAACTGTCTAAATTAACTCCTACATTAAAAAAAAACAACTAAAAGAACCCAAAACTTTGTTTTCTTCACTGTTAAAATTACATGTTGCATGGTTTTTTTTGTTACATTCTTTTGTTTATGTATATGATTTTGGTTACATGTCAAATTTATTTTCATTTTGTTTAAATAATTTTAATTTACAAAGCTCAACTCTTCCTGCATGTGCTAAGACCAAATCAGTGATTAGACAGGATATGTCACTCCTTCATGATTGCCTTAATTCACAAATACCAAAATTTGGAGATGATCTACTGGTTAGGTAAGACACTGTGGATTAATTCCCCTCTTCTGTTTGATATCTCATATGGATTTGCAAAATAAATGACCTTCACTGTAAATTGATTTCACATAATATGTAGTGTATCGCATCCTTTTATGTTGGCCTAAGATTTACTGCTGTTAATAAGGATTTAAATTTATTGTTTGGTATTTCTCATTCCACTTTCTTATAAGTGGATGTTGTTCTGTCTCATTCAGTTTTAAACATTTCAATGACCTTAGCAAAAAATTACTAGCAGTCTTTTGTTTGCTTTTATTTTCTAAACAAATCTTGGCACTGTCATCCAGTCAGCTCTTTTACGTTTTCCTTAATTAAATCATTGTGATTCTACATTTTCTGTAAAGAGAGCATTATTTTATGAGTTAATATCTAACATTGTATTCCTTTCTTTGTTTTCTTTTTCTTTCTCTTCTACCATTGGATGCAATGCACTGGCACTAGTGAACTACAGCCCTCCCTTGACAGGGCTAGGAGTGCTAGTACCAACTGCTTGAGACCAGATACTAGTTTGCATTCACCAGAACGAGAAAGGTATAAAATAAAAACTTATGAATTTCTTGTCATCTGTGCTGGTGATCTTTATAAGTTTTGTTTTTCTTCATATGAGTACTCTACATTCTTGTACATTCATGTCTGCTTTGGTATTTGTAGACATTTTTACTCCTATATTCATGTATGTCATGTAAATTGTGTGTTGGAGTTTATAACCACTTCTGGCTTCTTTCCTTGTTTTAGTTCAAGCTGATGTCATTGTTTACAAAAGTCCTCAGTATGCTGATAATAGCATCACAGTGTTAAATATTTTCACAAAGTACTACTTGGTTGTTAATCTTCATTATCATTTGCTAAAAAGCATTACATTTGTTTCTTGCCTGTTCTGTGGACTGCTAATAAGGCGGTGACATAATTTATAGATTATATGACAAAACTCTCATATTTCAAACCAGAACTGTAGTTTGCATCATGACGTATTTTCTACAAAACAGCCAAACTTCATTGCTTCCTTAATCTAATCTGCTTCATCTGCTTTTGCAATTACAAAGCAAATCACTGCATTAAGCTTTTTTGCACTCTGTGACATTATATTAAGGCTCACATAAGTCTTAAGAAGACATGTTTGCAATTTAAATGAAATATTGTTGTGTCACATACATTGTGCAGGCATTTTATGGATGCTTTCTGAATTTCCAATATTACAATAGCTGGGTTAAAAATCTGAGGTGAACCAAATACTATTGGTGTGTTTGACAGATGGGATTGTTCCACAAGGGGATTTTTCATCACCACCTGTGTTTTTGGCTAACAATTATACCATTTTAGACTAGATTTTAGCTTCACTAGAGGCAATAATAGGCTCCCATTGAGTGGGAATATGGTTGAATTATAATTTCATCTATGCAATACATGTTTAACTAGTGTGGCAGTTAATAATGCAAAGTTGCTTTGTTAGTCAACCCACAGTGTGGTTATTAAAACAGTTGCATCACTTTCATTATCGTGGGAGAGGACCTGTGAAGAAAGGCAATAAGAACGTACTTTTCTCTGAGATAAGGTGTTTTTTTTTTTTTTTTGTGGAATTTCCCCTTCCCTTCTCCCCACTTCCCACTGCTCCTTGATGGGACCTTGCTTCTCAAGTTGTGCCCTTGTTGCAGAGGAGTGACTAATTAATGTTCTGCTGGAATATGTAGGATAGATCTACAATAGTTTATTCCTTTTTCAGGTCAAGCTCAAGATAGATAAAACGTATATGGTTATCCCCAAAAAGTATGACAGAAATAAGGCCACTCAGAATGAAATACAGGATACCATTCTAGATGTTTAAAAAAAACTATTGTAGCATCGTATTAATTATGAAGTGTGTAGATATGTACAGCTGTATTCATCTATAAGCAGCTATTTAATGCAATAACGTATGGACATAAGCAGTATATGTTTTGTACTTTCATTTCAAGATGCCACCCATCAAGTTAAATATTCAATGAAATGGAAGCTGGCAATTGTAAACTACCTAGTTAGAATATTATACTCAAAACTAAACCTGTCACTGATGTTAACTAGTTCTATTATGTCTTTATAAATTATCTTCAGCAACCTCTGTCCAATAGGCACTGAACAGAATCTGCAGCATTTTTCATGAGCCTCCTCATAAAGAGAAGTGTTTAGTCTGTGTTAATGGTCTCTGCTAAACACGAGGTTTTGCCAAATCATCTGTGGGCCTGATCCAGAAAAATTGTCCATCACTATGAAACTTTTATGTCTTTGCTTTTAGAAGTCCTAAATAGTGACTAAATAGGTGCTTTTGATGTGGGGTCCTTCATGGGGGTGTAGAAAAGCTCTTTTTTATTAAATTATTGTTCAAAATTTTCATGATGGTTTTGTTGCAAATTAGAAGATCTGTGTGGCTCTGTCAGAGGATTAACAATAGGCTTTTTTTTATTTCAGACATAGATGTTTATCTAATATAGCCCAATTTTTGGAGGAAGATATTATATTTAATGTATAAGAAACACCAAATTAATCTTTTGATTTGGGAGAAGCTAATTTTAGAATATTTTGTTCTCCACTGTTGAATGTATCTGCTTACGCTTTAACATGAGGTTAGTGATCAGTTGGGTGTAATGATAGAGGAGTCTTTAGTTTGAAGGACACAGAATTAAGTTCAAGGTATGTAGAAAGCATAGTTGGCCAAAGCCCAACTAGAACTTCATCTGGCTACTGCCGTAAAAGACAATAAAAAAAAGTTTCTGTAAATAGATTAGCAACAAAAGGAGGGCTAAGGAGAATCTCCATCCTTTTTTGGATGCAGGGGGAAACATAGTGACAAAGGATGAGGAAAAGCCTGAGGTACTTAATGCCTTCTTTGCCTCAGTCTTTAATAGTAAGACCAT